ACTCGAATGAGGTTTCTTTCCCATACGGATAAACTTAAGTAAGATGTTTAACAGTTTAGTACTATAATTCCGAGTTTATCTCCTCGCATGGTACCATAGTATAGAGGTTAAGCTTTTAGACAAGGGGATTCAGTAAGATAAATACAGTGATTGATCTGTTATCAAACTCTTGATATATTATCATCCCTATTGTTCAGGTTTCTTGATAAAGCTGCAATAATAGATGACAAACAAAACAAAGAAGAGGAGAAACAAAATAATAATCCGTGGAGACTTGCAACTGTAACCAGAGTGGAAGAAATGAAGCTTATACTCAACATGATTCCAATATGGCTAACTACTTTGCCATTTGGAATCTGTGTAGCACAGACCGCCACATTCTTCATCAAACAAAGCACAACAATGAACAGGAAAATCCTTCATAATTTCATCATCCCACCAGCATCAGTCTACGCCCTTGCTGCCATTGGAACGATAATTTCCATCACTTTTTACGATAGACTCCTCGTACCCTTTTTAAGAAAGGTAACAGGAAATGAAAGAGGCCTTAAAATTCTTCAAAGAATTGGTTTTGGAATGGTTTTCTCTACTATAACTATGGTAATAGCAGCATTAATTGAAAGGAAAAGGCTAAATATCGTTGAAAAGAATCCTCACGAGGGCTCAATTTCAATGAGTGTATTGTGGCTGGCACCCCAGTTTCTGATCATTGGTATAGGGGATGGATTTACTCTAGTGGGATTGCAGGAGTTCTTTTATGACCAAGTGCCTGATTCAATGAGAAGTTTAGGCATTGCATTGTACCTAAGTGTAATTGGGGCAGCAAATTTTCTTAGCAGTCTTTTGATTACATTGGTGGATCATATTACAGAGAAGGGTGGCAAAAGTTGGTTCGGAAAGGATTTGAATAGCAGCAGATTGGACTATTTTTACTGGTTATTAGCAGTTATTACGACTGCGAATCTCGGCGTTTACGTGTTCGTCGCGAGGCAATATTCATACAAGAATGTGCAGAGGACTACAATGGCTGTTGCTGATTGTTATAAAGGTAATGGTATTGAAGCAATGGCTTGATGTATTTGTGTCATTTAGAAGGTCTTGGTGTCATTTTCTTTGTCAAGGAAGTATGATGACATGCCTATACGACTAGTGAATTGGCATGCTAGACTGAATGACCTTTGTCGTGTAATACCCTATGTTATTTGTGACATTTAGCCCCTATTTGAGCCAAATTATTGTAAAATGAGAATAAAAAATATAATTGTTATTGGAGCCCACACAAGAGATAAAAAATATGAATTTAAATGTTGATTTGATGGATAACGGTCATATTTTTCATTTTAAACGGAACCTTGATATATCTGCAATGTATCTATTTGTATATAGCCCTTGTTTGATAGAAATTAAAATTAACTATATTTTATGGGATCTGTAATTTTTAACTACACATTTCATCAACTTTTATCAAAATCTACTAAAAATTTGATTTTAATCTCCACCAAACAGGGACATATTATGCACACGTTTAGTACAAATTAAAATCTGATTTTAATTTCAAATCAAAGTCAGCAATTAATTTTAACTACACATTTCATGTGATCTACAACTTTTCTACCACATCTTTCGTCAAATTAAAATCTTTGTGATTTCTATTTTCCTCTATAAACTGTGATGTATATGTCAATAGTGGATTAACTCTGTCACATGTCTCATCGTCAACAATGAATCAAATGTGGCCTCAATTTCTTCCTCGTTGACTTAGCTATGAAAACTACGACGTGAATATAAATGCAAACTAAATTATGTAGATTAATGTATGTTGGAAAAAATTATAATGTGTGATCTAGAAAATTGAAATGTTGAAGAAATTTTGAACAAGAAGAGTGTTCTTTTTCTTTCCACATCACTATGAAGACAGTAAGGTTAATAGAAAGAGCAAGGCTTGGTGTACATTTCTGTGGACCCCACCCCATGTGTGTGGGCTGTGTAAGTTACTGTACAAAAAGGATGTACAACAAGCCTTTTTCTAATAAAAATTAGAATTTTAAAAGTTAAATTTAAGTGCAAATATGCTTCAGAATTCATAGCACCACACTGAAACCCTAATCCATGGGCAGTGTACTATTGAAACACATATTGCAATTCCAATTTCTCATCTATGATAAGTAATGGATATTTTATTGGAAAAAAAATCTATATCTAGCTAAGAGATTAAGCATGACATGTTTTAAAACAATAAACAAGGTTTAAAACTTCAAAAAATAATTAAATTTTATTTATGAAATAGTTAATTAAATATGTTAAGGTCACAATTTTATACTATTTTGTTACAAATTATCGAATTAAATGATTACAAATTATTTTTCTACCATGAATGAAAAAAATTATAGATCACAAATTATTTCACGATGACAAATTTTAAGGTCATAATTTGTTCATTAGTTACAAATAAAAAAAAATATAAATTACAATTTATTTATCGATCACAAATCATAAATTTTAAAAGTCACAACTCAAATTTTTAAGTCATATATTATTTATTGGTTACAAGTTATCGATCATATATTATCTATTGGTATACGGGAAGTTTCTACAAAGGATCGGACTAATGATGTATACAGTACTTGAATTCTTGATGTCACAAAATATTTAATTTATTGATCACAATTTCAAATTATTGGTCAAAAACACTCTTAATCCCACCGCCTATCCTACCCAACCTCAAAAGCCACCATGACGCCAACTGAAAAAAACACCACCTCACTACCACAGCTAGCGCCATCATCGCGACCACCACTATCGCCGCCACTTCGAACAAATTACCATTTTCAACTTCAAAATCACCATCACCATCTCACCACCATAACCACCAACAAACTACTATTTTCAACTACAAAACCCCCACCAGTGTCATTGTCGTCGTCGCCGCCGCCACCTCCTGTACCAAATATTACAACCACCACACCCACCAAAAAATTCCCAAACCTGATGCCGTCGCCGTCACCGTCACCACTGCATCGCTACCACCGCCTTATAAACAATCATCATCATGACCTCCTCAAATCTACATCTGACAACAGTCCGATAATCGTGGCGCCGCTACATGCTTACAACATTGTTGCACACAGTACTTCTACTTGCAACGGTACACCGCAGTCTTGCTGCAGGAAAAGGTAGAGAAATGAATTAGGGTTTGGGTGTAAAATTGGGATGGGATGGGATGAGATGATAAATATAATTTTATAATATTACTATTAATATTTAAAAAGATAAATTATCATCTGCTTTTTAAACAAAAATTCTTTCAATCTTATTTTTGAATTTGGAACTTAAAAACTTCGTGTTGATGTAATTTCCACTATTTTATTTAATCCTTTACCTTTTGTAGCGAAAAACTAGGGTTCCTTTAAACCCGTATTTCAACCCATTTTTACATTTTTTTTTTTGGTTCAAACCCAACATAAACCAGGGACGAAAACATGTTCCCCGTCCCGCTCTAGTTTGAAAAAAAAGTTAAATCTATAAAAAATAAAAATAAATAAATAAATAAATAAAAAATATATATATATATTGTCTTGAATAGAAGGTTCTTTATATAAATATTCTATACTAATGACGTGTAACAGGATGAATCTTCTCATTCAGGACACGTGTTTTTAGAGTTTCATTAATTTTCGAGAATAAAGAAATGGTAAGTTTGGACTCAAGGCAGTTGAGATAAGATAAATTCAATTTTGATCCACGACAAGATGATTGCAATCTCATAATCTGGTTACTTTCTCCCCAGTGATGATAAACAATCGACCTTAAATAGTTGGTGTCAAAGTTTGCATCGCCTCGCTCGCTCATCATTATGCCATTGTCAACTATGTTGTTGAGTGCGCGCGATTTGAGCGATCGCACATGCTCTTAACATTGTAGGGATACTCAAAATTTTTTTGTTACGTGCATATGTATCTATCTATAATATTTATTAATTTTAACAACTTTGGTGTTGTCAAAATTGAGTTGTTGGTGTGAAAAATAATTTTTAACTATTTTTAAAATGAATGAATGTGATATTGTCAATTAAAATTGTACAAGTAACATGATTCATAAGTGATTGGTTGAAAAAGTATTTTTTTTAAAATTGTCAAATCACAATTTGCCACGAGATAAAATGTAAAAATGGTGTACCAAAATCCAAATATGATTGATTGCATAAAGATCATTCATTCTGTGCACCAGCAGAGTCTAATCTCATTATTTTCTTCAGATGGAAAATGTTCTACAGATATTTGAAGTATACGTCTTAGAGTGCGTTTGATGCACATTTTTTAAGAGAAAATACATTTTTTTGATGTAATTTAATAGAGAATATGTGGTTGAAAAAGAAGGAAAAATTATCAATGTGATGAAAAATATTATTTTATTGAAGAATGTATGATTGAAAATAAGTAGAAAAATACAGATGAAAATGAGAACGTGGCTCAAACAGGCTTAACAAGAAATAGTGAGTGAAATCACACCCACTCAAGATAGCATATATACTGCAGCTTCTGTTCATGGTTCAACACTTCAACGTCGGAAGTGTATGGATTTTTGTCTGCTAATGGAGCGTTGTTCTGCCAGTCTCTCTGTGTATATATCATCGTAGCCATTCATTTCATCATCACCCCATCTCTTTCACTGTTACTCTTTTTTTTTTTTCCTGGCCTTTAAACCCATCATCTCTCTCGGGGTCTCTCCCTCTCTCTCTTTTACATACACTGCTTCTCTCTCTCTCTCTCTCTCTCTCTCTCTCTCTCTCTCTCTCTCCAAACTTGTATATAGACAAAGCTTCTCAGTCCAGTAAACTGTATTTTTTTTTTCCTGGCCTTTAAACCCATCATCTCTCTCGGGGTCTCTCCCTCTCTCTCTTTTACATACACTGCTTCTCTCTCTCTCTCTCTCTCTCTCTCTCTCTCTCTCTCTCTCCAAACTTGTATATAGACAAAGCTTCTCAGTCCAGTAAACTGTTCATGGCTGAGCGATTTCAACCATATCATCTCCCGCAGCAAAGCAGAAGAGATAAACTGAGAGTTACAGCTCAAACCCCACCTGGATGCGTAGAAAACGTTCAAGAAAGTGCAAATTTAGTCCATCTCTACGATCCATCTCTAATGTCCTCAGATTTAATTAAATGTGCAAACTTACATCATCAACGCCTCAATCTTCGCACTGCACCCTGCAAGCAGAATTCAAACATAGGCACGGTTTCTGGTTGCGGTGGTGTTAAAGAAAAGGGCATGAATTTGATGGGTTTTATGGGCGGAGAAAATACGATTCCTGCTGCTGCTGCTTCATCTTCTTCTTCAGCTACAAATCATTTGTATTTGGATCCACGATCATCTGTACAGTTAAGCCCTAGTACTATTGAAGATATTAATAACAGCCCATATATTTACACACCCCAATGTCTCAGAGTTCTTGATCAGTCATTTCATGGCAATGAATTGGTGATGTATAAACCTGAACCCCTGTCAATAACGCATGAGGCCAACTGTAGTAGTGCAGCAACTTGTCAAGGTTTGTCTTTGTCCTTATCTTCACATCACACTCACCAAAATAATCTTCCTCTGGAGCTGAATCTACAGAGATATGACTCTTCGATGTTCAATAGTAACAAGGTCACTGGAGAGTATCTGGTTGGTGGCAGTAGTTACGGTGGTGATGGTGAGGGTGCCGATGGAAGTGGAGGCGGAGGTGGGCCAAGCGGCTCCACTTCTAATGAATTATCAAGAAGTTCCGTGCCCTTAGTGCCCTTTACTGGTTATGCTTCTATCTTGAAGGGTTCAAGATTTTTGAAGCCTGCTCAACAGTTGTTAGAAGAGCTCTGTTATATGGGTAGACAAATTTATGCAGAAACAATTGCATCCGACTCAGCTTTGTTGGATCTCCCACCATCGGAGAGTTTGAATGGTGATGAGGTTGTTGATGATCCACTGAGTTGCAGTGATGGTGGTGAGCAAAGTGGGAAGAAATCAAGGTTACTTTCAATGCTTCACGAGGTATATATCTTTTTTAGTTCGATTTACATGGATTTCATCTCAATTTTATCACTTATTTAATAATTGGCCATCATCTCCAGTTCTAAGCATTTGATGTTCATTTTTGTGTTAGTATTTTCCTTTTTATTTCATGTCAGTGGATTTGATTATTCAGTTCAGCCTATGTTATTGCTAGTAGCTAGGTCTTTACTAGTTTACTAGGTAGGAGTCTTCTACTGTAGATACTATTTCCAATTTAATTCGAACATTCTTAATTTGTGGTGTTGCAAGAATTTGTGGCAGAAAAAGCATTTAACTTTGACAGTTTGTAGTAAAAATGGTTGCTTTGTGATCTAGATTCTTGTATAATAGGTATAGATCGTGATAAAGATCAAGAAATCATCTTTTTGGAAAAGTAATGAGAGAATATATGCCCAAAGATTGGTTCCATAAAGGGTCTGACTGCATAAGATATAGTTCTAATAGGGAGTTAAGGACAATGCCACCAAGTTACAAATGTTTTCTGAATGAAGTCTTTAAAGGAATCCATTTGAAAAGATTAAGTTCTTAAAAATAGTTGTCAACAGTTGGAAATTAATTATATTAAGCCTAGTTAAGATAAGCTTAATATATGT